AGGGGAAACAACATAAACCCACTCTCATTGCGTTGGTAAAAGCTTCATAAATTGGAATTTCGTAGGAAATTCTCTAATGGACAAGTTCAATTTTTTTCGTAGACGCTGTTGGGCGATAGTCGCCAGGAATAAAATTTTGGTCGAAAAAGAAAATATAAGAAAACAAGACATGGAAGAAGACATCTGGAGCAAGGCCACTGACCAAGGGCCCGGGACACACTTTTAACTCTCTCGTGAAAATCAAACGGCTCTAGCGATGTTACTTGCTGAAGAAAACAACACAATCAGTTTCCAATAAATGATTAACACTTCCAAGACCTAGAAGTAACTAACTCGTCACAGTTATTGTATGACAAAAAACCCAGATACACAACAGTTCATCATTTACCAAGGACTCACAGTGGGCATTGAGCAATAATAAAGTCACATTTCTAACAAACAAGTACGATTCCTCACCTTGTTAGGGCATGATAGTAGTAAACTTTTCCTTGGCTATCGGTGGCTGATTTCCAATGTGGAGGGAGATGCCCCGGTAGTTTGTGTTTCACAGGTGATGGCGTGCACGGTTCTGAATCTGAAGGAAAGCCCTCTCTGCATTCAAAAGCATCTGACATCGACGTCGTCACAGCTCCAGTTTGAACAGAGAGCGACCCCAACTCGGGTTGTGGTACACTTTCTGTTGGACCAGTCACCTGCTGCAGAGGCCCTGGTATATTTCCAGCTGAATTCCCCTGTTGAGCGGCCGCGATGTTGAGGTTTGGAGGGGGTGTATTAAATTGAAACTGATTCTGCTGTGGTGGAAAAGCAGCCTGGATGCTTTGAGGAAATTGCTGTTGAATAGGGTTAGGGTTGGAGTGTGAAAACTGTGTTGTTGGTGGAGTCGTAACATTGGCTTGAAAAGGTGGCGGAGGAGGAAGCCGAGTGTAAGAGGGGGTAGGTTGACTGGGTGGAAAGAACTGCGATTGACTACTCTGAAGGGGTGGAGGAGGTACTTGCTGAGGGGGCGGTATAAGCGGATTTGGCTGTAGCTGCTGAGGAATCATTGGATGAGTCTGCGGACGGATATTAGGTGGTGGAACTTTGCGAAAAAATTCCATAGGTGACATATTAGGAGGAGGTACATTAAAGTTTGGTAGTGGTGGAGGTTGTTGAGAGAAATTTCCCACAAAACTTCCAGAAACTATACTTTGTGGCCGTGGTCCTTGATCTTGTCCAACTGCTGGTCCGCTGCTGCAGAAGAATTGGTTTCCCATTTGGAAAGTCGCAGGGGGATTTTGCGACTGACCTCTCCACTGCGTCGCCGCACCTTGCTGAGGTCTTAAGTTTGTTTGAGGATTCACGTTAAAGTTCCCAGCGTTTTTATCTAGCAATCCTTGAGGATTTCTTCCCTGTTGCTGAAAAAAGTTCTGCAATTGATTCCATTTTTTCTTTTTCTTTTTGCGGCCGGGTTTATGTTGGAAAGAGCCCATCCCATGCTCCACACTGACGCTCATGCGCTGTTGATAACCGAATGTCTGCATCATGTTCTGTGATTTCGAATCTTGCTTCTGAGTAACTTCAACAGAATCCCGTGAACTTGAATGAGTTCCTTCTCCTTTATCAGGAGTTGAATCCGCTTGGGTATCCACGTCTTCTCCGAATTCCAAAGCACTGAAGTCACCAGTTTTTGACGGAGGGGTGGCACTCGAAGAGTCTTGCGGCATCTCAGTGTCTTCACTACAGGTAGAGAATCCCTGAGAAACAGGCGGAGTTCTGGATTCAGATGGATAGAGGGGTTTGGGAGAGTCCTGTAAACTCTTCATGATGGCATCTAATTTTCCTGGAGAACCGATGTTCTCAATGGGAGTCCTACAGAAATACAATCATAGATCAGATCAGAGATTCAAAGACCATTAACAGAGTAACTTTTAATTGAGTCTCCAAAGTAATATGGGATTGTACTGGTTTTTCTCTACTCTGCTCTATGATTGGTCCAAAAAACTCGCGTCACTCTCTCGACCAATCAGATGCAAAATTACAATCAATCACGACTTGGTCGCCCGCATTTTCCTGCCCTTTGGGCGGTTTGCTTGTTTTTCCTCTGAGTTTTCATTTGGCTCTTCAGGGTATTTTCCTTTCTTCTTTCCATAATAATTACTTTGGTTTTGTTTTAAGGCACTCAATCGAAAAGCGCTCTATGAATGGTAACCCTTACTTTCCCAGACGATATAAATATTCATCTTCTCAGCGTAGAAATTCTTCAAACCTGTTTTTTTTGGTGATATATGTTCACTTATTAAATTTGTTGTCTCACCTTGCATGATCACCGTCACCACTTCCTATAAAAAAACATCAAATTAATCACTTTTTAACAATCAGTTTTTCCAAATTATGATGATCCTCATGGGAAGTTAAGTTCTTTCTTTGTCCCGCCCCCGTAAAACAACAAATGAAATCTGAAAAAAACTTTGTCGCACACATGGTTTACACAAAATCCACTCCCTGATGAAAATGCGTAACTATATCAGGGTTCCATGGTCAAAAAACTGATCAATCACGCAATAAACAAGATCATGTAAAACAGAGTTTACCTACCTGCTGGGCTAGCTGCGACTAACAACTCAGCAACACGGTCTTGCTTGGCCTGAACAAAGAGAATCAGACGATCATGCAATTGAATGTCAAACAAACAACAACAACATTTAAGACCATCTACCAAATTGCAAAAGTTAAAAGTAGCAAAATGGAATTTGATACCAACACTCTGGCTAAACTAAGAATACACCCTTTTTTTCAGCAAGAGAGTTTCACCCTCTCCTTTTGCATCAACGATCGGCTTAAAAAAAAAAAGGTAAAGCGAAGACAAACTACAAAATAAATAAATAAAACACAGAGAGGAAAAATGCCCACTGTTTCGAGTGTCACTTTAAGAATACTTACTGGAGTTGCAGTTTTCTTCGGTATTCGGTAAACTTCCTACAAACAAAAACAAGGCAAAAAATGCCCCAGTTTTAACGCGTTAGACTCTGGCTCAAGGGTCTGAGGTAAAGCTCTAGTTTGTTGAGTCGAGTTCGAACGATTTACAAACAACCACACCAGCTTGTAACTCACGGTGTTTTAAAAACGTATAACCTTTCTGGTAAAACGCAAAACAGAGTAGAAAATCAACAGGGTACCCGTACTTGAATAAGCTTTGGGTTTGAAAATTCTCTCGGTTTCCTTTTCCCTGTCTTCGTTTCCTTGAACAAATTTCTATGAACGTTCCAATTTGCTCTCGCTTACCCTTTTAGGCTACAGACACGAAACCTTAATGGGCTATCGTGCTTTAAGATATCCATTTTCCCTCGAGTATCTGGTTGTTGTTAATTTAGATGTGTTAAATGAGAGACAAAGAAAGTTGTTACTTAGGAAATGAAGCCAAAGACTCCACTTAAATGGAATTAAAATCACCCCGCCTCCCCTCCCTCAACAAACTATTACACATAAACATATCTTGTTCTGACAAGTATCTGGTTGGCAAAATGGCATCACCTTCAGTGAACTCCATGACTTCAACAGCTCATTCGCCTTTAGTCCGATGCCGCTTTCAGGCAATCGCTCGTCCTCAGATCTGAGGTCGTCCTCTGAAAGGTCATCAGGGGATTTCTCAAAGTTCTCTGGCAGCAGTTTGTTCTTTATAGTCCTGCTATCTACAGTCTTGTCGACAATAAAACTGGCCACTTCTGCATCCAAAGATTCATCATCTGATTGGTCCTTGATAGAGCTTTGCCGTTCAAATAGCACAAGGCTACCAATAGCTTTCTTATCTCCATCAATGGATTTTGCTAACTGCTGGTTTTCGTCATCATTATCTTCTGTTCCTGCCGTACATTCTGAATCTGCCGGACTGTTGCCATGTGACTCCTGTCCACTGCTGGACCCCGCTTCGACAGTCGGACAGAATGACGACGCCCATTTTCTCACCACCTTTATTACCTTGCTATCTTCAAGTTGGTTCTTTGTTGCTATGGGAAGGCATTTCAATGTCTCTAGCAACTAGAAATCACAATATTTGAAGATAACAGTTAATTTCTTGCCTGTATAATAATCATAATGTTGAACTCTAGTTATAGATGGTGCATAGAACAGTGTAAACTGATAAACTGATAGCTCTCAACAAAAAATGTATACAAAAAACATCGGCAAAACAGTTCACATTGTATAACACTATTTATGAGATAAATATATAATCACTGGCAAAAAACCCTAACTCCATAAATACTCCATTCCACGATTTTGC